GAGTTGAACTTAGTCAAATAAAAAACAAACAAAAAAAAAGATTAATTAAACTCAAATTTAACTTGGTGAATCTTTCTTAACTTTTCTCTCCTTATCTTCCGAATCCCTACAGAAACCTACAACAAGACGTTCCTCAGACCAGATGTGTTATTGTGTCCTCCTCCATCCCTGACCACAGTTTCCACCGAGCAGCTATTTAAGGAAACAGAAACATTTCTACAGGGAATAGGACGATTTTCCACCATGACCTCCCAGGTAGGGATCGAGTGAAAGGTCAAAGGCTTTGGAATAAGTAAAACAGCAGGAAGCATGTAATAATATCTTGAACTGCTCCTCCTCAACAAACAGTGTAAACACAAAGGACAAGTTTGTGAACATTATTACCAATAAAAAAGCAGTTTATACTGTGATAATATTAGGATAATAAAATAATCTTTGAGGATGTCAAAAAATGTTTTCAATAGTCTCTTTGGCAATGTCCCAAAAGAAATGTGACTCTGGTCCGGGTCCAAGTCCCCGCAGCAGTCCTTCCTTCTTGTCTTCACAGCTGAGTCGTATAAAAGGTCCTGCTCTCCTGAGTCCCGAGTCAGACTGATGCCAAAACCCTGAGCTGCAAGACCCGACAGGCTTCTTACACTGCAACACTGCAGGGAGATGGTTCCTTTTATGAACAAAATTGTCATTGTTTGCTTTTTTACAGCTCAGGTAAGAATTATAAGCCTTTATAAAAATGCCTTTTTACTTCAAAATGACTTCATATTATGTTGTTTTAGTGTATTTTTACCACTTTAAATGCATATCGTCTAAACTTTTTAATTTGGACAATGTTAGTTTTAATAGATCAAACATGTTCCTAAAGTAATTGCTCCTGTCAAAAAGTAAATTTACAGTTTCCAGTTTTAGATTGAGTTATTTTGATTCTTATTTCTATCTTCATTCTTGATGAGAGCATGGTACCTACGTTTTGTTTTTCCATCCAGGTTTTAACATCAGCCTGGTCCCAGATGTGTCCTCGACGGTGCCATTGTCCCGCAGAGATCCCTGCATGCGCCCCCGGGGTGCCCCTGGTCCTGGATGACTGCGCCTGCTGCCTGGTTTGCGCCAGTCAAAAGGGCCAGGTCTGCTCTGAGCTGAACCCCTGCGACACCCGTAAAGGGCTGCAGTGCGACTACTCCGACAACGTCCACAGACGGACTGGTGTCTGTGTCTGTGAGTGGGCTGCATTTAGAGCGCGAGTGTGTGTTTGGTGCTGAATAATTTTTCCTGCGTACTAAATAAATAAAAATCTCCTTCCTCTCTTTTGTTTTTTAGTTTCCATGGGGAATGTGTGTGTTTTGGACGGCTCTGTGTATCAGAACGGTCAAATCTTCTTCCCGAGCTGTAAGTACCAGTGCGTCTGCCATGACGGGCAGATCGGCTGCGTTCCACGCTGCAACTTGGATGTAATGCTGCCGGGGCCAGATTGCCCAGTGCCACGCAAAATCCAGGTGCCCGGGGAGTGCTGTGAGAAGTGGGTGTGTGAGCCCCAGACGGAGTCCAGTGCACTGGGTGGCTTCGCCATGGCAGGTCAGTGAACTGTAACCGCTCTGAAATCACTGATCTGAACGCTTGTGTACAAGCAAAATGTTAAAAAATGTCACTAACATATTTTCATTATTTAGCTCACTTTATGATAAAAAAAATTCCACTAACATTTCATTGTTATTTAGCACACTGTTCTTACATTTAACTAATTTTTACTAAATGTTAAATTTAAATATTTAAAATATTAAATCCTAAATATAAATGTTAAACCTTAAATGTTGAAGTTAAATGTAAAATTCTACATTTTTGGAATGGAATGCAGCCTTTGCTGTTAAATGCTCAGGTCTTGTTAGGACGTCATCATCCCGAAACACATTTTGAATTTTGATTTCTCAATTCAGGGTCACAGCCGACATCGGCCGACAAATACAGCTGACAAAACCCCAAAAGTAGGCTGCATCTGAGTATCTCTAACGGTATCCCAGAATTTATTGCACCATCAGCAAATTAAACAGAAAAACAAAGATGGCGGAGGCTTTTTGTAATTTTACGGCAGAGATTATTWTTTTTTTTCCTGTGGCTGAGTTTGGAAATTGATCACAGACCAAATAACGTAAGTTAAGCAGCTGATGAAATTTTTGTTGCAATGAGATGTTAAATAAAATGCAGTTATAAAAGACYGATATTGGAACTAAACCCAAATTAATGCATCTTATTTATTTGTAACGTTTTTCTACTAAAACTGAATTTGAAAAAACAACTGAAGCGATGTGATATAAAATATATCACTATTGTAACAAGATATTGGGCCTTATGCAAGAACATGTTCGTATTCTTATCCTAAATTTCTCTTACTTTTGTTCGTACGAAGGGTTCGTA